TCCTTGTACATTCAGAGAGAGGAAGTACAGTTAATGTAAATAAGGTTAATGTACATTTTACCATGACTTCTAGAGGAATTTGACTTTGCAGCCAACAGATTATGCTGCCTGTTTCTTGTGTGCTCTGAAGCCACAGGAATTGCTTGTGCCATGAGTGTTGTTGTGTATATGTGTACAGGGCAGATCTGAATGAGCTGTGCTTCACCAGGGCTTTCTGTAAAAGCTGACCAGCATTTATGGAAATATACATAGGTTCATCTGAATTGGGAGATTACATTAAAAACAACTTTGCCTCCTACAATGCCATCGCATTCAGACAATTATAGCTAGGTTAGGATAGCCAAAAGCAAACCAAACATTAATTAAAACCTGTTGTTTCAAAAGAGACTAAGTCACAAACCAGGAAAAATGTAGCCTCATCTCATCCTGTGGTGCCTCCTGCAGGTATGGCTGAACATACGGACTTCTGTTAGCAAGGCTGAGCCCAGTGGCAGATTTCACATGCCGTATGTTCCTTGAGGCACAATGGGATAAGGTGAAGTAAGGACACAGAGGCAGCGTCCTTACTAGTATTGATTTTATACTTCAACCTTTAATGTCATTTTTACAGACGGCTATTTTTTAACATTTACAGCACAAACGTGTGTGTGCATGTAGGTGACTGCAGAGCTCATTGCTAACCAGCGCTTCTATCATTTCCCTTAATATATTGCCTGGTAGAAGGACTTAGGGCATCTCAGTATAATATTATTCTGAATGGTAATTTGGTATTGCTGAATCCCTTTTTGTCTATACACTGTGAAAAGCATGAGGTTGGCCTTTCCCAGAGGCTTCCCAATTTCTGGTGAAGCGCTCTCGTCTACAACATACACACACATGCTGAAGGCTGTTTCTGTGATGCCCCTCTTAGCTGTCATTCTGTCTTTCTTCCATTCTACAACATTCACCTTCCTTTCCAAATTGATCATCTAAGATGGTTTTTATAGCACATCATCTTGCTTATTCACTGCCAGTCATACCATGTTACCTACTTGAATATTCTGAATGTTTGGTCACTTCTCCCTCTCTGTCCACACATTGCATGGCATGACATATATTACATTCTTCACTTTCTTATTTATACTTCAGATGCTTTTTTTCTTTTTCCCCTTGGCTTATGCCATAGCTCTTACCTTATATCTTGTGGCTTGTAAACTCCAGCATCATATTTCAGAGTTTACATTCTGTTTTTACTATTGTAACTTGCTCTCTCCGGTGATCTCTTCCTCTGTGTATACATTACTATATGTTGACAAACTCAGCTGATTTGCTTTTGTATTTTCTGATATACACTAACTCTTAGAAATGTATGATTTTTGCTTTGGCAGAACAAGGCAGCCTTGTTTTATATAATCTATCATTCTGATGTAGTAGGCAGACAAAACTGCATATGCAGTCTGACTTTTTTGGGAGAGAAGTACATGTTAGAAGTAATTATCAACTCAAATATAAATAGGATGCCAGTGTGAAAAATCACAAGTGCAGTTTGTCTCTAATTACAAAGAATATCTACAGAACCTGCTGGAGGGAAATGTTGGTGAAGTAGATTTGAAGTAAATTAAGTTTTCTCACCTGCAGATTTTCTTCCGTGTTGCAGCTGTGAAGATGCATCTTTAACCTAGAACACCAGTGCTTATAGCTCAGGCAGTTAAGAACTGAAAAGCTATACATATTAAATTCAAATTTTTAGGCAAGCCTCATATTTAATGTAGATGGAAGAAGTAACTAGTCCTATATTCTGTTCTCTCCAGCTAAAGATGTCTTTGCTGCAGTTCAGGCTGTGCTCTGAAGCACATCCAATTTTGAACTCCCTTGAAAATGCAGTAACTGGCACTTTTTCCCAGTTTCACATTTGGAAGTACTACAACAGATAGTGGATTTTATTGAATTATCATGTAAATCTATATTTTTTTAATTTCTTTTTCTTTTTAGCCCAAGGAATATTAGTAAACAAAAGTTTGTCAGCTGCTTCAGTCCATCCAGTCTCTTTCATTCTTTCATTTTCTTTTCCATTCATCATAGATATAAATTCAAATACTTAGCTGAAAGAAGTTGGCTGCATGCTTTGGTCTTTTGATACAATGGATCCTTAGCTTTGGTTTGTTTTGTGTTCCCATTGCACATCCAAATGGGCAATATACAAGTCACTAATTCTGTTTTCCATCTTTTCGCTGCAAAGGAACTACCTTGTTCCGCATTAGCTCCGTCCCTAGAATCCTGCTTCTCCCGGCCAGAGAGACCAGCGAATCGGCGCCCACCTTCAAGATGGGCATCACATTCCCCTACTGCCTCACAGTCTCAGTCAACCGGAGATTTGACTTCCTCTGAGGAATATGGAAGCAAGGAGTCGCCAATGGAGAACCCAAACCAGTGATGCAAGCTTGCATGAATTATCGTGAGAATAATTCATTGTACTTTGCATATTAACACCATCACCATGGCCAGTCTCTGTTGACAAGGAGGGATCTAGTTATAGAGGTCAAAGAATGTTTTAAAATTCAGCTGCTGAATGTCCAACCTGTGAAACAGAGATGTTTCTAGAATGAAACAGTTAATGTGCCTGTAATAACTTAATTTTTTCATAGCTCAGAAAACTATTTTTGTCTCCATCTTTTCTACATACAGTATATTAACAAAAAAGGTAAAAATGATATAAAGATAAAGAATACGATTTAAAATAAATTGTACATTATGTTTTAAGGGAAATTGAATGCGTGCTCTCTCTCCAAATACTGACTGCCTTTTTGTTATATTTGCACTGTTATGTTTTGGATTTTGGTTTTTTGGGGGATTCAGGAGTTATTTTTCCATGTAAAATTAGGGTCTTTTCTTAAGTTAATTTTATCCTATTTTCATGTCAGTGTTACCTATTTTTAAAAAAGTAAGGTTCTTGAAGGTGCTTCATATATCTGAAGCGGTAAATTTTAAGTAGTGAAGAAAGCCATTAAGCTAGTTGACTAGAAATGTATTAAATAAGCTGGAGGGAAATACAGGTAAATACAAGAAAAAAATTATAAGAATGCCTCAGAAAGTCTTAGCTGTATAATACACGTACAATACTTGACTTGCATGCCTTTGGGTTCCTAGCACTTTTGTGCATGTACATATTGCTACTGTACTCCTACCATCACATAAATGTGCGTCGATCTGTTTCACTGTAGTACTATTGTGAATTTACCTGTACTGTACTTTTACTGTTGGTATTCTTGCATTGACTATACAAAAAAGTTTTTAAATTATTGTTAACGGTTCAACTGGCTCTGTACAGTGTTTACTGAGAACTTACTTTGTTTTGGGAAAACATTGAGAACTCTGGGCATACTAAATTGTAACTGGTCTTGTTTAAGAGTCTGTTGGAGACCATGTGAAGTGGAAATAAAACCCTCAGTATTTACAGACTGCTGGAGTGCTTTAGAATGGTTATTTATTTTTGAAGAGGTGCCTCCCCCTCATGACCATATGGTTCCAAAACCTTCCATATTTATAGACCTACAGAAGGGATGGAAACAACTTTAAGTAAAGGAAGTAAGTGTACATATTCCCTTTGGGACTGCTCCAGTGCCTGGTGTACAGACACGCATAGCCCCCTGACTTCAGTGGGCCTTCTATCAGGTTGTATATGTAAATTATGAAAAAGCACTTTCAGAGGATTTCTAGATTTCCCTGCTGCTGTCCTGAAAACATCTGATTCACTAGGATGACAGACCCTTCCTTCCCTACCCCTTGGATAATATTTTTTTACTGTGTTTTGCAATCATTTATAAGTGAGAAAGCAAGCCCACTTATCAGCTACTGTATGTAATATAAACAACTAAAAATACAGTTTTATGGCAGGCTGCATGTTGGTCTAGTATGAAATCTCAGCTCTAAGGAAACCAGTGATGTTACAGAGAAACAAACAAAACTATAGCTTTACCAGCAGCTGCTGGGAGTCATTTAAGTGTCTATGCAACCAAGTACTCAAACCACTACCATATTAAATAACTGTGAGACTTGAGATATGTTCAGCCTGATAAGAGGTCCATTTAGCCAGATCAGTTTTCAGAATGTAACTGATGCCCAGTGTCTGTCTGTGACTAGAGGGTTGAAATTTTTGTAGGACCAGTCATCTAAGCAGCCTGGGACTCCTAACAGCTTCCTTGATTATCTGTGTAAAGGGATTACCTTCTTCGCTGCTCCTCTAGACACAGAATGATGGTCAGAGTTCTAAAGAGTTTAATACAGCTATTAAAGGAAAATGCCCTTTAAAAACAAAACTATGCCAGGGACCACAGTTTCGGACAGCTCCCAAACACACATTCTATCTGAGGCCTTTCTTCTACCCATCAGGACATTGATCATGCCACCTCAGTTAGCACATTGATTAGGACAATGGTTGTTCATCTGATTTACATTTAGAAATGTCTACCTCTAAGTCCCCATCAGGAAGATGCAGCCAACTCAGGTACTAAATGAAAATCATTACTGTCCAATAGCTGTTTGAGCTATATGGCGATTTAGTAGTTTTATTCCTGCTCATAAGAAACAGTATTCTTATAAAAAATGAAATAACAACAAGCTTTATGTGACGGTGTTCGCTGAGAGAAAGGAATGAATGAACAATGAAACTGACTCTCACTTTCTTTCTCAGAATGGGTCCTTCCAGGTCAGGACTGACGTACTTTGATAGGAAAAGGGGAAAATCATGCATGGCTTCTGCCTTTGCTGTCTCTTGTTTTCAGAATGAATAGAAGCTATCCATCCCAGAAGCCCTGTTTAGCTCCTTCATGAGCTTCAAGAAAAATACTCTGTGCTGTACTAACAATGTATCTCTACAATTAAACTCTTCAGAGTAGATCTAGGGGAAATTTTCCAAAAGTTCAGCTATCAACTAAACATAATGACAACTACTCAACCTTTTTAATTTACTTTATGCACTACCACTTTTCCCCAATGTCCACTTTTCCCCCGGTTATCAAACAGTCATACTTAAGATACTGCAGTTAATGCCACAGTCTTTTCGTAAGACATAGCTTCACAGCCTCTAATACCTCTACAGAGTTAACTATCTATTTGAGGTTTTGCCCACTACTGTATTATGTACCAAATATATCAAATACATATTTTTATGTAAGAAAAAATATTTAAAATTATTGTGCTGATGAAGTTCAGGTGAATTCCCTTTCCTTTGAGTATTTTGACTTCAAAGGATCCAAGAATTCTTTTAGGATTTTATTTAGTATCTTTTCTGTATTAGCATTTTCTTGCTTTCTGTTATGGAAGGAAGAACTTGGAAAATGGGTGAACCTTACAGTATGCAACTAGAGCAAAAATATATTTTTTCAGACAACAAACATTTTCATAGATTCATAGATGTTCGCGTCAGAAGGGACCTCAACAGATCATTGAGTCTGACCCCCTGCCTAGGCAGGAAAGAGTGCTGGGGTCAGATGACCCCAGTCAGATGCCTATCCAGCCTCCTCTTAAAGACCCCCAGGGTAGGGGTGAGCACCACCTCCCTTGAAAGCCCATTTCAAATTTTGACCAACCTTACCGTGAAGTTTTTTGTGATATCTAGCCTAAATCTGCTCTCTGTCAGTTTGCAACCATTGTTCCTTGTTACCCCAAGAGGCGCCCTGGTGAACAGAGCATCTCCGATCACTTGCTGCATCCCCCTAATGAATTTGTAGGCAGCCACAAGATGACCTCTCAGACTTCACTTGTAGAGGCTGAAGAAGTTCAGGTCCCTCAGTCTCTCCTCATAGGGCTTGTCCTGTAAGCCCCTAACCACGCGAGTGGCCCTTCTCTGGACCCTCTTGAGTCTATCAACATCCTTCTTGAAGTACACCGCCCAAAACTGACGCAATACTCCAACTGCAGTCTGACCAATGCTGCATAGAGGGGAAGTTATCACCTCCTTAATCTATTTGTCATGCATCTGCTGATGCATGATAAAGTGCAGTTAGCTTTGCTGATGATTTCATCACACTGACGGCTCATGTTCATCTATGACTCCGTGATCCCTTTCCGCTTCTGTGCTGCTGAGAGGGTCACTTCCTATCCAGTAGGGGTGCTGGATATTTTTGCGCCCTAGGTGCAGCACTCTGCATTTGTCCTTGTTATACTGGATCCTATTGTG